ACGGATATTCCTAGTAATAGGAAACTGAAAACTATGTAAATTTAAAGTATTCAAAAGACTTTACAACTACTAAATTCACAATGTTTGTTTGAATCATGTAATTGCAGAAAATTTGACTAATATTCTTAGTGATATCTTTGAAAACAAAACAAAAACAGTTTTATTTAAAATTATAATTATTCATATTTTATAATATACTACAGACATTAATAAAACACAATTAAAATTGATGTTTGTTCGAAAATTTGACATATATTCACTATTTACGTAAAATTTTTCTATATAGCAATCACTCGTATAAACAGGCTTCGATTAGTCCAGATTCACTATAGTCCAGTTTGAAAAATTCAAAACAAATAAAAGTTGAATTGAGTAAAATAAAAATAAATTCTAACAAATAAAACTATTTTTTGATTATATTTAAATTCCTCGATTAGTCCGGTTTCAAACCGTTCTGGATATTACCCGCATTATGTAAGGTATTCCTATACAAATTCTTGTAAACAAATGAAGAAAGAATAATATTACAATTCAAATTCATAATAATTATTCGAATTATTTTTAAGTATCTTAAAGATTTTAATAAAATTTAATCCCAACTCCAACTTAAATTATTTCTTTAATTTCTATAAAATTAATAACATTAGTTTGAATATACGTTTTCAAATAATCATTAATATATTTTAATATATTAAGTATAGAAATCTAATATATCAGATTTTGTTTGTCACGTGCTAACAACCAAAGTCTTTCTACCTATTTTTTTATAATTTACTAATTTTTGAAATCTTTTAAACAAAATAAATTAAATTAAAATGTCTATACTAAATCATAGATTAATATTTAGAAATATTTTACAATTTCTTCAACTAATAAAGTCTTAACAAAATATATTAGAGATCAATTAATTAAAAAATAAATATTGTTTAGAAACTATTAAAATTTTTAAGTTCTAGACAAATATTAATGTTCTAACTAAACAGTTTTGTAGTTCAAACTTACAAAGATTACAATTCTTTGGAGACTAAATATAAATAATAAATTTCGTCAGAGTAAAAAGAAAACAAACAAAAAAAAAATTGACTAAATATAGTCTAAACAATTAACGAAAAGGCGCCAAACGTAAAAAACACAAAATAAATGTGCTACAGTTCAGTCTCCTCGCGTTATGCAACAGCTCCTGGTTTTCCGTTTCTTATTGTTTGTGTATGAGTGCATATGTATATGTACATGTTGGCATGTGTGTGTGTATGTTGTGAAGTCACGGCTGTGTGCAACATTTTGAGTCGAATTACGTGAAGAGAGAAACACGAGCTGCAGGTAATTCAATATGTGCTCTCCGGTGGAGGAGGCGCGCGCGCGTCGTTGTTCTCTCCTCGACCAACAACATTTATTTTAACAACACAAAACTATTTAGAATATTAAAAGGTGGAACAAACAATAAAGACTTTAACGATCGGACGTGTTTCCAATAACAACAACAACAGCAGCAACAATATTTTTGTTGTAACAATACGCAACAATATAAATGGAATATGGAACAAAAGTAAACCTATTTGTAATAAAAATAAAAATTGAAAACACTGAAAAACACATAATACAATATAGATTAGCGTTAATATTACGTAACTATACTTAAAGTAGAAGATTGCTTCTAATATAATCAGAAAATATACAATAAAAGTTAATCTGAAAAAAACACATTTTTGAATGCATATTATAGAAAACTGGGAAATACCAGAAATTTGTTACTACGTTCGTTGGAAAGGCCATAGTTTTTTCTTTAATAATATTATTCGATGATGTAATTGATTTGTGTGGTATTCGAGTAATTACATAATACTTGAAGACATGAAAATGTCTGAAAAATCGCAATATTTTTGTAATTAATCTCATAATGCAAATAATTAACTAATATAATAAGAAAATAAGAAAATCTTATTAGTTTAATTATTAATTAGATAATTACTTTTGGTGTTTCAGAATAAAAAAAACTGAAATTATTAATCACAATTTTTTATTAATTAATTAATTAATTAGATATTTTATTTGAAAACCCATGGATGTAAATAGTAAACGGAAATAGAATGTAATAATATTAAGCTTGCAATGAGCGCTGCGTGTATTTATTTCGCGTCGAAAATTATACAGTATTAATTTAATTAATATATTTTCATTAGCGCGTTGAAAAGTTGTATTTGCACAAAAATAAACCAATTGTAAATGACGATGAAACACACATGCACACGCACAGTGTAAAAGTGGTTGAAATTGTTTTCGTCGTGATGAGGGGTGGTGAAAATGAAAATGTTTGGGCTTTAACAAAATGCAAATGAAACGTAAACAAAATTTAAACTCCGAAAACAAATATTGCAAAATTAGTTTATTTGTTATAAAAACAAACGTGCATCCAAACATGTACAGTGAAATAAAACATTTGGGTAGGGGAGGGAAGTGACTGGATCGTGAAAATAATATAAAATGAAAAAAAAAAAAAACTTTTTCAAATGGGACAAACACTAAAGCAAACGCCAATTTCGTTTTCATTTGTTAATGGATTCATTTTTTTTTTAAACCGTTTCGCTTCGTTTCGATACTATCTCGATTAAGTAATTAGTTATGACAAAAAACAAACGGTAAATTAACAAATGAACGAGTTACATAACTGCGCGACATTATCGTGAAATATGGAACGATCCTTAGTTTCTATTTTTTTTAACACTATTAGAAAACAGGGAAAAGACAATTTTTACACACATATTGATTATATCAAGAAAATTATTAGTATGAAAATCTAATTTGTGCATTATTTCTCCACAACATATTTTTTTTACATTAAAAAAACTGAAGAAAAATTAATTTTCTATGAAAATTTCTTGAATAAAATAAAAACTTATAAGTTAATGATAATAATATTAAATGGGCAGAAAGATCTGTGATCAATTTTCTTTTTAAATAAATTGAAATAGAATTCTTAACATTTTTTTTTTGTTAAATTTAAGAAATTTACAATTTTTACAAATAAATTTTAAAGAAATAATAACACTTTTGGACAAATTAAACCAATTAAAAAATAATAGTATACAGAATTAATAGTTTATATTTCTTATAAATTATATTACTTAATTTAAACTATTCTTGAATCCAACAGGAAAATCCAAATATTGTAAAATTAATGCTAATTTCTGTTAAATTTTTGATTATACAAATTCCTTAATTATTTTACCAATTCCAGCGAATATTATGAAGTGCGTACACACTCGGGTCAGGTTTTTATGCATAAATTGAAATTCGAGTCGAGTTTGTACCCTGACCCTATTCACTTCACAAAACGCACACACGCGTTATGCTCATTCGCTTTTATTGTATGTATATAAGCGCAATTAAAATTAGAAAGAAATACACAACAGAAGAGGAACAAAGAGAGAAAGAGAGAGAAAACGCGAAATAATTTTACTTGCGGTTCGTGGTTATTGTTTTGTCCCAGAAAACAATGGTGCATTCAAACGCAATCATTCTTTTTAAAACGACTAAATTATTGCTTCTCTTTTTTTTTTAATTATTTTTCTTTTGTAAACGAAACTAATTAACAATTGCAATTGCGTTTAGCAATCTATTTTCTATCCAAAATTACATAATTTTCCTTAAATTTCAATAAATTAGAAATTAATACTAAAATTACTCAAAAAAATCTATTTTCTGCATAATTTTTTATAAAATCTATTTTTATGTTCCTCCAAATTTAATGAATATATCTTCAATATTTTCTATGCAAAATTGCAACAGGTAACTTTATAATTTTCATTTTCCTATAGTAAACTGTACTTTTCCATTTTAATGGACAAAGTCTAAAGTTCCAAAGCCATTGTCGATGTTCTATTGCAATATTGATTTTCATTGACGCCTCTGCTGCTATTACGTGGACAAGCGGAGCCACAAGGTTGGCCGCAATAGCGAGGAATGAAAATAACAGAAAATGTAAAAAAAAAAACAACATATTTGTACACAAACAAGACGAGGTGCTATTATGCAATTACACACATCGCACAAGTGCGAAAAGATGCCGAGAATATATTGTTCTTTTTTTCAGTAAATACAATGTAATTTAATAATCATATTGGAATACCAATTTTCAAACAAATAGAAAAATGTGTATACTTCGATTTTTGGTAAATTTATTAAGTATAATTTAAACCTTTAATATTTGTATTCAATTATCTAATTAATATCGGTTTTTATGTAGTAATTAAAAAAAAATTATAAAATAAAAATTATTTAAGCTGCGCATTATAAAAATTCTTATATTAATCATGAAATATGAAAAAAAAAATTAATTCTTAAATCTGATAAAAAAAAATGAAAAGAAACATGATTTTTTTTTAATTAAAACTTCTTAACAGAAATTGAACAATTGAAGATCAGAAGTTTCTCTATGAATAAATTGTTGCAAAAGTTAAAAATTTACTAAAACCAGAATATTTCATTTATTTAATAAAATCGTAATGATTCGTAATAATTGTAATAATCTGAAGATATTAAAAATCTAAGCTTGAAAGAAATATTGTTATAGTAATGAAGAAGCTAACATATTTTATGAAGTTTTGTAACATTGATGTGTGGACCTTTTCCTAATTTTAGAAACTGTAAATTCCAGTTTGTACGTAATTGCGTACGCAAACAAATGTAGTAACTCCATTTGGAATAAATATAAAAAGAATGTTTTACTATTGAAGGCACCGTGAGTGCGCGATTGTACGTATGTTTACAATGCAGTTAACGCAGGTTGACGAAATACTCGTAGAAAGTTCATGTAAAGCTTGTAGCTGCCTGCACGTTTTTAGCCCATTCTGTGGGTCTTTACGCAATGGTACATATCGTTTCGAACGCACAACTATTCCAATTACCAGTACCTCAGAGCTTTCAAAAGAAGCCAAAAACTAATTGAATTTTTAATTCATAAATTAAATACTGTAAGAGAAGTATAGTAATTGTGTGTTTACCTTCATGTGTGCTAAGTTTTTAGGTCCCATGTGATGATCCATCATCGGTCCATAATTGGATGAGGCGTTCAGAGTGGAGTTGACCGATTGCGGTGACATAATGTTGTGGTTCAGTTGCACGGACATAGCCGATCCCACATCCGAGGTGCGGTTCTGAAATCATTTGATCACTCATACTAGAAAATCTGTTGTAAACCCAATACCTTCAACAACATCCGAAGCCTCAAAATCTCCTTCTTCAAATCATTAATGGTTTTGTAGGACTTCATTATCTCGTTCTTCGCGAAATTATATTTCGTCAACATATTCTTCAACAACGAATTGTGATTCTTCATTTGGAAACTTACAACCTTATTAAAAACAACAATTAATCTATCGAAATTATGAAATAAATATTATTATATTAAAAACGTACATTAGATAACTTTCCGAATTGCTCATTGATTGGTGTGAAATAAGTCTGCACATCGTTGTTCATATCATCAGACAGCAGAATCGTTCGTGCTGATTGCTGGCAAATCAAACATTTGCTACCATTGTTCACTGCAAGTGAAATTTTAAATTTTAATATATTTTATTTTTTGTTGCAAATTTATTATGTATTTCTTACCGAATTTGTTGGTACAACTTTCGCAATTCAAGTGGCCGCAATTGGTGATATAAAACTTGAGGTTTTCCGAATACCTTGCGTAACATTTATTGCAGTGAATCCAATTTGCGGATTGCATCTTCTCGAAAATACAAGAACCTTACTGACATTAATCTTTTGTCAAAAAGATATTTAAAAAATCAACAAAAAATAGGCAACTTAAGTTGATAAATTCTTTTGTTTATTAAGAAACTTTCAATATTTTCGAATATTTGAATTATATTTTTGTTTGTGACGAATAGTTGAACTAGAAAGTATAATAGGTTTTTAATAGATGGCGCTTTTTGAGGTTTCCATTGATTTTCCTATATTTAGAAGTACTGAAGAAGGTTTATTAGATAATTTGGATGTTAATGCAAGTGGTTTGAAAAGTTATTCAATTGTTTAATAATTAAAGATATAAATTTGAAGGTTGTATGCGTCTCCAAAGATGGTGCTAATAAAGTTAAGAAATGGTTTATTTAAACTTGTATTATTTAAGTTTAAAATATGTTAGATAATCTCTTGATTAAGATTGTAAAGTCTTAATAAATAAAGAAGCTGTGTGAATGTAAAATATTAATTTGCAATTGATTTTGCGTTTTCTTGAAGAGTGCGCATGTGTATTTTGTGCAGTCTACACTACATCTGTTTAGGTTAACGTAGCGAACTCATCTGTCATCAGTGGGATTGAAGATTTGCAGATTTCCTAGGAATTTGATGATTAAAATGCGCGAATCTGGGGTCCAGACGATACCCATTTGATCAGCCTTCGACATTATGATAAGAGTGCACCAGAATATAGTGAAGATAGTGCAGGAAAAGTTTTCGGATTCGGTCACCGTTAAATGTGTATCCTTTTTACGAGGAAGAAACTAGCTTTAAGGATAGAAGGACTAATCGAATTAGATTTATCATCCTCATCCCATATCAATTTGCTAACAAATTACGAAAAAAAAATTAACAAAAAAAAAGAAACACTAAAGAATATATCAATCAAGTAAGTTTCCAAATTCGTTTTCTCAATTTGAATACAATTGGATTATGATGAGAAGTCAGAGAAAAAAAACAACTACAGAAATATGTGTTTGCTAACTAAATTCGAATCATATTCCAAGAATTCTCATACTTGAATTATTCACCTTTTATTTGATGATTTGAGTTTGAAATTCAGTACATAAAACCACTTTAAACATACTCCCAATGTTTACCAATAGATAAGATACTGAATTATGTATTGCATAAATTTGGGTTTCGAACAGTTTTATTTCATGCAGCTCAGTTTTTTTAGGGATCCCATTTAGACAATAAGATAGAATTAGGGAAGTCATTAAAAAAAAAACAATGCAATTTTCCCATTAGCAATGAAAAGATTCACTTGAATGTGGCTTTGGCTCAGGAAGATCTGGTGCAGCAGCACAGGCTATTGGCTCTAGTCGAATCGGATTCCAGTTACGCTCTGTTCATATTGATCTCCAAGCAGAAAGTTCCAGAGGTCTTCACCGATCTCACCATTGACAGAGCCTTCCCCATAAACCATTGCTTCAATTGTGGTGAGTTAAAAAAAAATTGAATTTATTTGTTTTTTTTTTTTTAATTGTATGTTTATTTGCAGAAACTGAATCGATTCCTAATGATCAGAGTCACATTATTTTCATTGTTAGTTCAGCGACGACGACTGTGAAGTTGAAGATCCAGATTGGCACGGAGAGCGCGAATTTCGCCTCGGAAGTCATCAGGGCGAAAGAATGTATATATAAGATCCATATGGTAAAATTAGCATTCCGCAATTTTAATTATATACGTTTTGCAGTTTCCTCGTTCACCATAACGGATCATCAGTGGTTGGAGAAACATTCCGCTAGGAATTATATTGAAACCAATATGGATGAAGAAGTAAGATTTAAATTCTTTGATGTTTATGTAATTCATAGTTAAATTGTTATTACGAAACGGGTAGAATCAAATTGACATGCGAGTTGATATAGTTGCAGGCTGGACAGGTTACTTCGTTTGATAAAGTTTCTAATATGTAAGAAATGGCGAACGGGAATGCCACTGGGGCCAAGCTCTAAAGTAATGTGAAACATATAATCCTATACGCGCGCCAGTTACGTTATTTTTCGTTCGAGCATTGTCAATGTCACGAATCTCTAATGTTCGATTTGAGTGCGAAACTAATGGAATGGTTGCAGTTTACAGATATATCGGTGTCCAGGCAGAAGATGGCCTCAGGCAACTCCAATCGCGAATCTGTCCTCAAGTACGAGCTGAGTTTGAAGAAGGCCGAGTACACCCATCAACAGTTGTTCACGTAAGTCTCCCATTGTATACCATTTTTTTTTGTTAACGGCCTCTGGCATCGTACAAAGCGCTCGTGTTTTTAAATACCCTCGGCTCGGCACAATTGGCAAATATTTTAATTATAGCCTTGACATTGCGCTTCACTATATACCATGTATATACTCTCTGGTTCCCATGGTAACTAAAGGCCAGTGATGCTCGTAATTTTAGCATTTACCTCACTTCTCATTAATAATCGATACAATTTATTTTTAAATTACATCAACTCTCTCTCATAGAGAAGTAAACTAAATTCAATGTTTTATTAATTCTTTGAAAGCAAATTTCTATTTCCATTAAAAGTGATTTTTAGTTAGTTTTTTTTTACTCTTCATAAATAATGAATAAAAGCAATCTTTTATTACAGAGGCGTCCAAACTTTTTGCTGCAAGAGCCAGTTTGGTATTTAAATTCATTAGCGGGGGCCAAGCATTGTAAATATGTTATTACNTTTTCAAAGTTNTNGTCGCATAAAAAACCTTATTACAAGTAAAGCAGCATTGAATTTTATTTTTTATAGTAAATTACAGATATAACAATACTAAACAAACATGTCTAAATTATATTATTATAAAATTATTTCATGCAATTTTTAAT